GAGGCGGCGGACGCGGAGGCCTCCGGCGGCGGCGGTGGCGGCCAGGAACCGGAGGAGGAACCGAAGGCGGCGGCTGTGGCTGCCGCAGGTGGCGTCGAGGAGTGCGCCTCCTGCGGCGGCGGGGAAAACGACGAAGGCTGCGCCGTGGGGTACGACGACCGCGAGGTGTTCGACCGCGCGTCTTTCTCGCGGCTCCTGCGGAAGGCGTCGCTCCTGGAGGCTAAGGAGTACTCCATGATGTCCTACCTCTGCAACATCGCCTACATGATCCCCAGAATTCAGGTACCACCACCACCATCGTCATGGCTAGTACTGCTACCCTCTCTCTCACGCGTCAATTGCAGTTCGTCCTCGCTGAATTTGGCTGAAATTGCTTTCGGTGAATGCTCATGAGCATTTGATTGTGCCAGCCAGGTGCCGTGCTCTTGTTCATGCCGTATATTTTCAGCGTCAATGCAGGTGCCGGGTGGTGGTATTTTCTAGGAACGTTCAAGCTAAATTTGGTCTATTTTGGATTTTACTGTATACTTTTCTTTTCCAGTGCGATTTTCCAAAAGATATTTTTGGATTAGTCCAAGTCCATCCTTGAGTTCTGCTTGTCTTTGCTAATTGGTTAAGCACCTAACTAACTGTTTTTCCGGCTTATGGATGGATGTATCGTCATCTCTGTTTCTTATACTGATCTAATGTAACTGAATTGCGGTTGCAAATATCCTTTTCCACTGCCTAAGTTAGGAATCCTTTGCTTTCATGCCTCGCATCTCAGCCAAAATGTCTCCGGAGATACAATTTGCGGTTTGTGACATCGTCAATGCAAGACAAGGCCGGAACTAGCCCTGATCAGAAGCAGGAGCATAGCACTAAGAAAGATGAATCTGGGGATCAAGCACCTGAAGCTGTGGACAGTGTGGTGCCAGCGAGCCAGGGGGAAAGAAGTGGCCTAGGGATTAGCGCCTTTGGTGCATACCATGTAGTGTCTTCGGCTGCCTCTTATTTGCATTCCCGGGCCATGGGCATTATGCCATTTGGTCCCGGGAATGATGCCAAGGATGATCCAACCATCATGGCGTTCGTGAGTGGCGAGAGCAGCGACGGGTTGAGCTTGGACGAAGCCTCATTTGTGGCCACAACAAATTCGGTAACCTCCATGGTTGCGGCGAAGGAAGAGACACGACAAGCCGTTGCAGATGATCTGAATTCTTCAAGATCTTGCCCTTGTGAGTGGTTCGTCTGTGATGATGATCAAAACAGCACAAGATACTTTGTGGTTCAGGTATTGCTTGTATATGCCCAAATTCTCATGGTGATCCAATATATAGTTTCAATTCTTTGTACTTCTTAATCCAATTTTGTGCCGTTGTGGTTTGCTTTTGTGACCTGCAGGGCTCAGAATCAATTGCTTCTTGGCAGGCCAACCTTTTATTTGAACCTGTCAAATTTGAGGTTTGATGACACTACTAGCTGTTGCTAAAAAAATCAGTTTCAGGAGTCGGTAGTATATACGAGCAGGTAGATGTTTATGTAACCACTGTACATTTCTGATGCGGCGCTGCAGGAACTCGATGTGCTCGTTCACAGGGGCATATACGAAGCTGCCAAGGGGATGTATCACCAGATGCTACCCTACGTGAAAGCCCACTTGAAGAGCTGCAGCAAATCCGCACGGCTGCGGTTCACCGGGCACTCCCTCGGCGGGAGCCTGGCTCTGCTTGTCAACCTGATGCTGCTGATGCGAGGGGAGGCGCCTGCGTCGTCGCTGCTGCCCGTGATAACGTTCGGCGCGCCGTGCATCATGTGCGGCGGCGACCACCTGCTCCGCCGGCTCGGGTTGCCGCGGAGCCACGTGCAGTCGATCACGATGCACCGGGACATCGTACCCCGGGTGTTCTCCTGCCACTACCCTGACCATGTCGCCAACATCCTGAAGGTTGCCAACGGGAATTTCCGCAGCCACCCGTGCCTCACAAACCAGGTAGGTCTTGGTGGTCTGGAGGTCGAGGTCCTTGTCCTTCAGCAAGAATGGCTTGCAGGTGTATACGACGCCAGCGAAGTCCTCCTGACATCGTGAATCCAATCCATTGCAATACAGAAACTCCTGTACGCGCCGATGGGGGAGGTGCTGATCCTGCAGCCGGACGAGCGGCTGTCCCCGCACCACCACCTGCTCCCGCCGGACAGCGGCATCTACCACCTGGCCGGCGTCGACGGGGCATCGGCGTCGGTGTCAGCGTCCGGCGACGGCTCCCTGTCGCAGCAGCTCCGGTCCGCGCTGTCGGCCTTCTTCAACTCGCCGCACCCGCTGGAGATCCTCAAGGACGGCGCCGCGTACGGTCCCCGGGGCTCCGTGTACCGCGACCACGACGTGAACTCGTACCTCCGGTCCGTGCGCGCCGTGGTTCGCAAGGAGGCCCGGCGCGCGCGGGAGGAGGCCGAGCGGGGCCGGTGGCGGTGGCGCCTGCTCCTGTGGTGGCCGTTCGGCGTCCACGGTGTGTCGTCGTCCGGCTCCTCGGGGCGGCGCGGGGGCCTCGTGGACGCCGTTAGCGAGGCGGCCAGGCGCGCGCACCTGCTGGTGGTGGTGCTGCTGCCCGCGGAGCTGCTCGCTCTCGGCGCGCTCCTGGCCGTTATTAGATTCAGGTGATAGATAGGCTCACGTCGGTTCAGATGGGTTCGGTTCGGTTCGATCCGTTCGTTCGTACGCCGCCGACACACACGATTCTTTTGTACCAAAAATACACACACGCCTGCAAAGCAAAGGCGCCAAGCGCAGCTGCGTCGCATGTAAGATGAACTTGAAGGAAAAATAGAAACACGTGCGCTTCCGTCCAAAAAGAATTAATGATGCGTAAATCAAATCTGGGAACAGAAGATTCGTGCAGGGAGAGCACGTGTATAAACCTGCAAACACGCCGGCAGAGAAGGAAAGGGGTCGCCATTGCTGCGGCCAGCGGTTAACCGCCGCCGGCGCACCGCTCATATCCAGAAACAGCCGTTGGCCGCCAAGGAACGTTTTGCCTGCTCCATGTTCATGCCATTCCATTCCAATTTACAGATGCAGGTTCTCGGCTGTCTTCTAGATTTTAGGACGTAAAATGGTTTCATACGTATTTTTTAGGTCTAGTTTAGTTCTAGAAATTTTTGCAAAATTTTTCAAGATTTTCCATCACATCGAATCTTTGGATGCATGCATGAAGCATTAAATATAAATAAAAAATAAAACTAATTACACAGTTTAGACGAAATTCACGAGACGAATCTTTTAAGACTAATTAGACTTTGATGTGACACTAATTGTTAAATAACAACGAAAAGTGCTACAGTGGCGTTTTGCAAAATTTTTCGCCATCTAAACAGGCCCTTAGGCCTCGTTTAGATTAGGGTTATGAATCAGTATTTGGCACTGTAATACTTTCATTTGTATTTGACAATTATTGTCCAATCATGGCCTAACTAGGCTCAAAAGATTCGTCTCGTAATTTACAATCAAACTGTGTAATTAGTTATTTTTTTTATCTATATTTAATACTCTATGTATGTGTCCAAAGATTTGATGTGACGGAGAGAGAGTGAAAAAACTTGGAATCAGCCTTAGTACTGTTTCTCTAGTCCGAGGTTGCCTTACCTACCCAGCGCGTCTGACGCCGGACGCGGCCGAGCCGATCCTTTTCCTGGTTTGCCCCGCTGGCAATGCAGGCCGGCGCGCGCGAGAGAGGCCAAGGCACGGGTCCGCGTTGCGCCCCGCGCGCGCGCGGTCTGCTCGTGCCTGCCGACCGCGGCCGCGTCCGCCCGGCGGGCGCGGGCCGGATACGACGGCGCGCGAACGTGCCGAGCCGATCCCATCCAATTCCAACGTGTCTGCTCGATTTTGCGTGGCGCTCGTCGCCTCAGCCCGCTGTGGCCCTACTGGTCCATCTTCCGGGCCGCGGCCGAGAGAGCGACGCGCGGTAGGCGACGTCGACGCCGGAGGTGAGCCAGGTACAGCGGGAACCGGTCGGCGAGCCAAACCTGCACGGGATTCGTACCCTGCCTCGTCTCGTCTCAACTGCGAGGGTTCAAAGTTCAAACCCGAAACGGAGCCGTGACTTGTGACCGCCCTGCCAGGCTGCCATTCTTGTTTTGCTTAGCTTGCTTCGTTTGGCATTTTCGCTCGGAACGGATGCCTACGAGACGAGAGGAAGCAGGTAGGAGGTTGCACTGGCCGTTCGACGGCCGCAAGAGTCATTCTCTCCCGGGTCTCCGACAGAGGGAAAGTTTCGGATAGGAACTCCAGCCCAAAAATCTGATGCCACGTCATTTTGGCCCGGTTCGCTGGAAGAAATTTAAATGAATCTAGAATCTTGAGAAATTTATGAACGAGTAAACAGTGTTTTTCATCCACGCACGGTAAAATCCAACTGCTTTTTCAACCAGCCGAACGAGCCTTTATTTATCCAGTTTCCACACATTTTTTGTTCCTGTACCAAAAGTGCTCTTACCTGTTAAAGTTGTCATGAGCGTTCAGACTGATGTGCTGCTTCTTTTCAACGAAAACGCAACATAAAAGTAATGCAACCTTCACCAGCATGTTGTAGTATATCATTTATACGTACTACCTGTCACAGCAAATGCTAGGTTTGGAATCTGCTGATACAAAATTACCACAGCCTACAAAGCACAATTTTAGAAACCGCAAGTCCACCATCAGCGACAAAAGTCCACCAAAAGCTGCTACGAACAATGCACCGCTTCATGTAACGTGATTACATAAGCTTAAATACTTCTAGCTGCCTCGAAGCAGCCGCATTTTTTTAACCGTTTAGACCACCCAGAAACAATCACAAGAGAAAGCTGACCCCATCACACCATCACATATCTAGGATTAACACCAACTTACAAGCTTTGCCTATCACTCACTAGCTACCATAAACCTTTTCATGCAGCTGCCATGTTCACCATAGTGCCATAACTTGATTTCAACTGCCTGCGAACCAGCAGTGCCATGGACAAAAGAGGACGACGGCGCCTCACTTGATGTACTGAGACATCCATTTGAAGCCTTCACCATAGCCCATCTTGCGCACCACGCTGCACATGAAGATCTCCAGGGGCCGGACGTTGGAGTCAGCCAGGTTCACGTTGCCCTTCCCAGTTGTGAAGTTGCTCAGGCCAAGGTAGTACCGCAGCTCCTCCTCTGAAGCCGCGTATGGGATGTCAATCTTATTGCCCAGTATGAGGAAAGGAACGTTTGCAAGGGAGTCATCTGCAAGAAGTGCATCAAGTTCTTTCTTTGACTCGGCAAACCGTTCCTTGTCAACAGCATCCACCAAGTACACAACAGCATCAACCTATAACAGGCAAAAATTAAGAACAGCCAACCAAATCATATGCCAAAACATTAAAACTGTGAAGCATAGAACTCATCAGGTTCAGTTACAACTCACAGTTAATTGTTAAAACTGTGGAGCATAGAACTCATCAAGTTCAGTTACAATTTATAGTTAAGTGTTAAAACTGTGGACCATACCATAGAATTCATCAAGCAGTGATTGAATTTAGGCCCAAGTATTACATGCCTAGTGCAAAACATACATTTTTTTTCCTGACCACACGTTTGCACAAAAAACTGAATCCATGTGGTTCAAACATGAGGGTCCCAAAAAGATGAACAGAAGGCTATATGTTTGACAACATGCAGCAGCAGCAGCATGTAAGATTTTTTGAAATGCAGTGGGGTGGAAAGCAAGATGCAAGGCATGGTGATCAGTTCTCAGCTAGCAGAAGAGATCCATAGCTGTTAATGCCGCTGGGGAAGATTTGATGCAACTACATGAATAATGAGTATACAAATTCAAGTTTTAAATTAATTCCAGACAAATTTACATGTTCCCTCCATGCATTCACTTCCCTTGTAGCCAAATAGTGAAATACAATTGGTCACCAAACTAGATCATTTCTGTTGTTCCCACCATTCTAGAACAGCACAGCGCCCCAAGTCAAGGATTCCTCTAAATCCCTCCAGTTTTCCAACTCACATAGACCATGGTCCATGGATCAGTGTGTGAGTGCTTTGCACTCCAAGCACTTAAGACTTCCCACATTGCCACCATATAAAAAAGGGCGTACCCAGTGCAGAGAGCTCCCGCATTGTGCGGGGTCTGGGGAAGGGTGTCAGTGGCAAGCCTTACCCTCGCCTGTGCAATGCGAGGAGACCGCGACTCGAACCCGGGACCTTCCGGTCACAGGCAGTAAGACTCTACCGCTTGCACCAGGCCCACCCTTCACATTGCCACCATATATAACAAAAAAAAAAAATGTGACCATAACCGGTTTACCACTAGCACTCTACCCCTACTTTCTCCGCCACAGTCAGTCCCCAACAAAACTACACCTTTGCACAGGTAATGAGCTGCAGGAAATATTTTTATATTGGGCTCTGCTTTGCTAAAAGCATTGGAAAGGACATCTGTCATGTTCCAACCTTTCTAGGTCAGCTGGTGTTTCTAAATTTGAGAACCTCAGGCGAACTCAGATGTTTTCAGCAAGACTCATCCAAGAACAATACAAAGCATCAAGCCATCAAGTCGAGGATTTTCATTAAAAAGCTTTTCTAGTTTCTTTTAGCAAAAATTGACCAAGAACCAGTGTATCTGAAGAGCTTTGCACCCATAGGACCAGACTTCCCAAACTGCCAAATTACCACAAAAACTGTGACGTTATCATGTATATCAACTATCACACATGGACTTATATGCAGGCACACATTCCACAATATTATTAGTAATAATTTGGTCAAGTGGGAAACCTAAGTCATTCATTTGGAAAGCTCTCCGAACACAGTGATACTTGAACAATTTTTCCATATTTCTTAATTTCAAATCGTGCTTCAATGAATATAAAGAACATATAAGAATCGAAAAGGACATTTGTCCCCCCATTCTAGGTCCAATGGGGGTCATACGAAAAACTGACAAATGAACTCAGGATTTTTCAGAGACTCATTTAAGACCGGTACAAAGCATGAAATGCTAGAGCTGCCCAAGTGTATATACGGAAATCAAACTACTCACATAAATTGAATGGGGCACGTTGGAGCAGTCAAATTCTAAGTGTAAGAGGCAAAAATCAACTGCAAAGATGAGTTGAGCATGAGCTACGCAGCTGATTAAAATATTCCACGCGCAGGACCAGGCATGGGTATCAGGCATGGGAATCTCCACACCTCCACCTGCCTTGCAAATGAGAAACTCACAATTTTTATCATTCCTTCAGGGCGATGACTAAATGCAGCACTAGAACTCTGGAACCCAACTCACGTCAACGATCTTTCAATCCAAAATCAAACAAACAGTAGTGCTGCTCTTAGAATCCCAAAATTTCTTTTAGAAAAAGTAGACCAAGAACCAGTCTCTGGATAGAATTGCACTTATAGAGCTCAAATTACCACAAAAATTTGGCATTAACCTGTTCACTGCTATTGGGTGGTTTTACCCTCCCATATTCTGCCACAGTTAGACTCAAGACTAAACCACAAATCTAGCAAGGTGCTGACCAGAGGTTTGATGCTTGCCAGCAAAGATGGAGGAGCAGAATTGCCCAATAGTTGTAAGTTGGCATCTCAGTCTTATTACTGGTAACTTGGTCAAATGAGAAGCGTGAGCTATACATTTGAAAATCTCTTCAAAACAAGTGATACAGGAATATATTTTCTGCAATCTTATTTCGGACCGTATTTTGACAAAATAATAAAGAACATAAAAGACAAAGGACATCTGTCATGCTGTAACGACTCCAGGTCAGATGGCTTTGTTTCAATATATGAAAACAGGTGAACTCAAGTGTTTTCAGCAAGTCTCATTCAAGAACAGTGCGGTTACAAAATCTGACCATTCTTTTTGAAGCCTTCGCCTTTTATTTTAAGAAAAATTGACAACAGGATCAGGTGTCTGAAGAACTTTGCACTCATAGCACTCAGACTTCCAACATTGCTGACTTTACGACAAAAATTGTGACCTGAACCTATTTAGCACCGGCGGACAACTTTACCTAATCATCTTCAGCGATGGCAAGTCTCCACTGCTCCAGCTGGAGCAGGGTGCTGACAAGAGTTTGATGCTTGCCAGCGAAGATGGAGGAGCAAAACTGCACAATAGTTGTAAACAGCAAACAGGCACCTCATAGTCTTAATAGCCATAATTCATCATGCTCTCTAAGCACAATGATTCATGTACAAATTTCCCATATTTTTGTTGAAGCTGTGTTCTGTCTCGAAATAAAAAATAGCATAAAAAATTGAAAGCACTAGACATAAGTCCGAAAGTTTGTTCTGCTCTGGTTACGCAACACCCTTGCTAGGAAATACCAACTAGTTCCACTTACACAGGTGGATTGTGTAATCTTCTTGTATACAGAGATCACATCCTACAAACCTCACTGAATGTTTGATGGTGAAGAATCAATGGGACCACTAGGCAGCCCCACTAAAATTATTGCGGGCCATTGTAAAATGGGCAGGTAATATGAATGTCAGAGCAACTAACAGCATAACAGGGATGTTGTAATATCTCTATAGGATGATCATGATCAGGTGGCCAAAATCAAGACCCAGTGGGTCAGTCATCCTTGGTTGCTTGAGGAGGCTATCTTCACAAGATCATAGCTCTGGGTATGCTGTAACCTTCTACAAATTTTCTCCTTGTTCTAAAGGACCTTACCTATTTGGCTATTCAGATGTAACATGCCTAACCCCAGGTACTACTTATATATATAAGCAAAGAAATTCAGATGTCGTTTAACCCGAGATACCATGTACCATTTAAATCCTACCGTCTTCGTCCCAACCCAAATTCCAACACCAAATCACACAAAAACTGTACCGGGACGACCTCTAACAATAATAAGCAAAGAAGCGAGCAGCAGAGGGAAGAAGAGGCAACCTTGGCGTAGTAGTCCTTCCAGACGCGGCGGGCGATCTGGTGGCCCCCGAGGTCGAACGCCTTGAACTTGATCCTGCCGATGCTCAGCTCTTCTGACGTCGGGTACTGCGTCGGCTGGTGCTGCACGAGCCGCTGCGATGAACCCAACCGAACCAGATCAGGAATCCCCGTTAAGTCGAAAGCACATAAGACTGGAATTCGCAAGGAAAAAGGGGGCGGATGTCGGAGGTAGAGTGGACCTCGTCCTTCAGCATGTGGAGGAGGGTGGTCTTGCCGGCGTTGTCGAGGCCGAGGAAGAGGATCTTCGCCTCCTTCTGCCACAGCCCAAGCGACGCCAGCACCCCGTAGAACCAGTCCACCAGGAACATCTCTGCAACTCCGGCGATCTCCCTCTTCCTCTTCGCAATACGCAGCAGATCAGACGACGACGCCTATCTCTTGCCTTTGTCCCTTCCCCTCTCTCCGCCTTACCACGAGAAGAATATTTCTTCCCCTCTTCTTCTCCTTGTGCCCTGCGTGCTGTATTCTAGTAGATTCTTCGGTGGCGTCTACTTGTTCTAGAACACCTTGTACAAGTTGTACTCCTCTACCGTCAGATCAGATCACGCGGTCCTTACGCTGCGGATTAAGAAAACCACGGCTGAGAACATACGGAGTATAATAAAGAAATGGAGATAAATGCATCTAGTCCATCAACTTTTTACGCTATATCATTGAGGCCTATTAACTCTGAAAATATAAATTTGAGTATATAAACTTTTTAAGTTGTGCCATTTAAATCCATACCTCTCCGTTTGGGAAATAGATCCTACGTGACAATACATGTCAGCAGCAACCGTGCTCCAGAGGTCATGTGAGCAGCACGTGAGGGCCCTTTGTCAATCGTTTTTTTGCCGATATCCTACTATGTTTTTCATTCCCTCACTCTTCACCCCTTCCTCTCCCTTCCCTTCGAAGCCATCGTCACTCCTTGGATTTCAGACGACGTCGGAGCGCTGGGTGGGACGACGGAGGCGGTGGGTGGTACCAACGACGATGTAGCCGGTGGAGGCGGTGAAGATTCTGCGGGGTGGTGGTGGTGCCGAGCGTGACTGCCGCGCCGATCGCAGCCGGTCGGCGCGATGATGGCCTCTTTGCGAGCACTGGGGGCACATGCGCCACAGTATGGTGAGTTCTTCTATGTCATGAACTCTAAAATTGGTTGGTTTAGGAGGTATTTCTTGCGTCGATTAGCTCACTTGTTGCAGAAAATATCTTCTTTTGTCGGCTAGGGTTTCATGTATTGGTCATTTATGCTGTAGATTTTGAGATTTTCTTCTGTAGGCACTGATGATGAAGAATTCTCAGTGGAAATGCATTACGGGGGGTGCTTTGTTTCACAAGGGTTAAACAAAGCCTATTTGGAAGAAAGAGTTAGTTGGTTTGACCACGTAGAAGTTGCTAAATGGTCTCCTCTTTTCATAGAGCAACTTGTTTTTAAGTTACACTACCCAAAGAATCCAAACATGAAGGTGTTCTGGCTGCTACCTGGGAAGAATCTTTCAAATGGGTTGAGATTAATTTGGTCTGACACAGACACAATGGTAATGTCCTTATTAGTTCACAAATTTAAGAATTTTGTGCTGTATTTGGACCATGACGACAACCTTTCTGGTTTACAATGGGATGATAATGTTGCAAACCCATTGAACCCACCTCCCAAGGTTTTCAGTCCAATGAAGACTATGCATATGGACAATGCAGATAGTGGGAGGGTACCCAAATTATGTGGTTATAACCGAGTTGATGACATAAATGATGGGAGCTTTGGTGATGACAGAGATGATGACAGTGCTGGTGATGACAGTGAAGAGGACCCTGATTTTGTTGATTCTGACTACGAATTGGATGCAGATGATGATGACTTTTTTCAGTATGTAGATGATGAAGAAGGAAGGAAGAAGAAAGATAAGGGCAAGAAAGCTTTTAGTGTTGTATCAAATGTTGAAGATGACATGTCAACAGAAGATGATGAGCTGTAGTTGCCTGAATTAGATGATGAAGGTGGAGAAAGCCTAAGGTTTGAGACTTTTAGAGAGCAGGATATGCATAACCCAATATTTAAGTTGGGTCAATTGTTTGCAACCCCTGAGATTCTAAGGAAAGCAATTACAGAATACAGTTTGAAGCACATGGTTGAAATTAAATTGCCAAGGAATGAGAAGAAGAGGATTGAGGCACACTGTGCAGAAGGTTGTCCTTGGAAGTTGTATGCTTCAGTGGATAGCAGATCCCTAGTATGGTTATCAAGCAATTCAATGGACAACACACATGCCAGAAAAAAGTGGGTTTTGAAGAGGTGCACATCAAGATGGCTTGCTGACAAGTATCTGGAAACATTTAGGGCAGATCAGAAGATGAGCCTCACAAATTTTGCTAGGTTAGTACAGAGGGACTGGAACATAACTCCATCAAGGTCCAAGCTTGCTAGAGCTAAAAGATTAGCTATGAAGAAAGTTATGGGAGATGAGGTGGAGCAATACAAGTTACTTTGGGACTAAGGTCATGAACTTAGAAGAAGTAACCCAGGCAGCAGCTTCTTTCTGAACCTGAATGGCAATGTATTTAGCACATTGTACATGTCATTGGATGCATGTAAAAGAGGTTTCTTGACTGCATGTAGGCCTATCATATGCTTGGATGGATGCCACATTAAGACTAAGTATGGTGGACAAATACTGACAGCTGTGGGCATTGATCCAAATGGATGTATCTTCTCAATTGCTATTGGAATAGTGGAAGTGGAATCACTAGTGACATGGAAGTGGTTTTCAGAGACACTGAAAAATGACCTTGGCATAGATAACACATATCCTTAGACCACCATGACAGATAAACAAAAGGTGAAACACAACACTATATCCTTTGTTGTAGTTGTTTGCTAGGTGAAAACACCATTTTCATATGTTTGTACTTTTATTTTCAGGGTCTTATTCCAGCAGTTCAACAGGTCTTCCCTGACTCTGAACATAGCTTCTGTGTCAGACACCTATATTCCAACTTCCAACACCACTTCAAAGGTGAAAATCTCAAGAACTAGCTTTGGTGTTGTGAAAGGTCAAGTTCAATACCTCAGTTCAATAGGAACATGGAGAAAATGAAGACCCTGGATCATAAGGCCTATGAATGGTTGCACAAGATGCCTTTCAACACCTGGGTCAGAGCTTACTTCAGCACTTTTCCAAAGTGTGACCTGTTGCTGAACAACAGCTATGAAGTGTTCAACAGTTATATCTTGGAGGCTAGAGAGATGCCAATTCTTAGTATGCTAGAGCAAATCAAGGGACAACTAATGTCTAGGTTCTACAAAAAGTAGAGGGAGGTGGGAGAAGAGTGGCAGGGACCCATCTGTCCTAAGATAAAGAAGATAATTAATAGGAATACAGAATTGGCCAATACATGTTATGCAATGCCTGCTGGACATGGCATATTCCAGGTACAAGATATGGACTATAGTTTCATAGTGGACATCAATATGAAGACTTGTGATTGCAGAAGGTGGGACCTCACTAGAATCCCATGTTCTCATGCAATTTCATGCTTGAGGCATGAAAGGATCACACCAAAGTTAGTTGTACCGGAGTGTTACTCTTCCAATAGCTATCTTAGTGCTTATAGCCACAATGTGTGGCCATGTAAAGACAAGAGCACATGGCAGAAAGTTGGAGGCAATGTAATTCTACCACCAGTATATGTGAAAAAGTTGGAAGGCCTCCTAAATCAAGGAAGAAGCAGCCATATGAGGTACAAGGTAGTCATGCACCAAGGTTGACAAAGCATGGAATTCAAATGACATGTAGATACTATGGAGACAAATGACATAATAGGGCTACATGTAGCATGAGAAAGGCTGGACTAAAACCCAAGATACATGCACAGAGGAGCCAAACTTCTATGCTAGTTTAAACTAAAGAGTTTTTTGAGGAAGCTGCAACTGAAGTTGCTAGTGACATGGCAATGATGCCAGTTCAAACTTCTATGCCAGTGATTAGTCAGGTAACTGCTCATGTGACAACACATTGTACTAGTATGTCTTATCACATTGTACTAAAGATTTTATGTTACATGTTTCCATGTTTGGAGAAACTGACATGCCAATGATGTCCCAGTTATCAAGTACCATGATGTCCCAGATGTAAGTAGAGGTTAGTGTCACTGTCATTTAATTCCTCCATATCACCCAGCATCTCATTCAAACTAATCATCTCCATTCTCAGTTATCACATAGTAGATTACTGAAAAAAGAACCACTTCCATTTTCAAGCTTCATATTGTCTAACCAACCAGCAGCCAGGCCAGTTCCACCCACTACTGCAACAAAGGCTAGGAGATCAAGGTTCACTGTTGTGAAGAAAACAACTACTACAAAGAAGACTGTTGCTGGCAAGAAGAAAACATCCCACAAGAAGGTTTCTGCTGCAATGAACAATCTTGATGATGCTGTTGGTTGAAGAGGACAAGCAATGATGTGTGTGAAACTGTAAATCATGCAAAAACTCTAAGTGCATTGTAATAGAACCGACCAAATCATAAGAACGTAAGTACAAAAACAATCACCGAAGTGATCAAATTCCTATACTTAAGCTCCCATAATCTCGGTAGTCCGGAAATCACGAAGGATTTCAACCAACTCTCGACATACAAACCAAGTTCAAATTTGCGGAAGCAACATAGTTTAGTACATAACTTCATAGTTTTAAATACATTGCCAGATCTTAGTCATGTCCCACAAAAGCATCTTCAGATACGAGAACTAGGAGAGACCGCGCCCAACGGTCTAGTCTTCATCCCCAGCCGGGAGAAGGCAATACTTGCAGCAACCAAAGTAGAACTGGTCACCTGCAACTGGTGGGAGATAAACCCTGAGTACGAGAAGGTACTCAGCTAGACTTACCCGACAAAACCAGAAATAAAAGACACCAAGGGTCATGCAAGGCTTATGAGGTGGGCTAGCTTGACACAGTTGCATAAAAGAGCTTATGAATATAGGAACCAATTTAAACTTAGCATCAAGCTTATCATCATTTACCTGTCCACTAGATTAGCACCTGTACTAGAGCACTCACTTATTAGGAGCAATCAATATTAACCATAGCAGGTATAATAAGGCTGTCATAATCATATCATCATTTCCGAACCATTATGTTATTTAGTGTATCTACTTTGGAGATAAGCCCGTCAAGTTCTCACTAACCGGGAGAGACGGCGACTCGAATCGAATTACAACTCAGCTGAGGGGGTATTCCTAACTCTCACCCTGGCATACTTAGCAAGGGTAGCCGTGGGTCACCTTTGGAACAACTCAGGAACCAAATTCGCGGGTTCGATC